CTGGAGCACCTCCCGTATGAAGACAGGCTGAGAAAGTTGGGGCTGTTCAGCCTGGAAAAGAGAAGGCTGCGTGGAGACCTTATAGCAGCCTTCCAGTATCTGAAGGGGGCCTATAAGGATGCTGGGGAGGGACTCTTCATTAGGGACTCTAGTGGTAGGACAAGGGGTAATGGGTTTAAACTCAAACAGGGGAACTTTAGGTTAGATATAAGGAAGAAGTTCTTCACAGTGAGGGTGGTGAGGCACTGGAATGCGTTGCCCAAGGAAGTTGTGAATGCTCCAACCCTGGAGGTGTTTAAGGCCAGACTGGACAGACATAGTTTAGTGTGTGGTGTCCCTGCTCATGGCAGGGGGGTTGGAACTAGATGATCTTAATGTCCTTTCCAACCCTAACTATTCTATGATTCTATGATTCTAAGTACCCATGCATGTACTTCTTCACTCTTTTTTACCCTGTTTGGATGCGCTATAAAAAAAAGCTTATTTTTGTTTGTACTTGTTGGACCTGAAAATTAAAATGTGAAACTTGGAAGTACTTTCTCCACTTGGAAGCAAGAGACAGGTATTTGAGAGACAGATGCTGTTAGAATGTGATCAAAGCAAACAGAATTAGGAATGCTGGATTCCTGATACCCCTCCCTCCATTCTGCTTAGGAAATCAGCTGATATGAAGCCAGGAGAAGCTGTTCTTGTTCTGTTCCAAATTGGTCAGTCTATCTGGTGTGTTTCCTTCGGGATTATAACTGCATGTCATATTTTGCATAAGAATGTGGGCATCAGGATAGTGATTTGTCTCAAAACTTTCTCTTCTCTTTTTCATGAGATTATACTTTAATTCTCGCAAAAACATCCCACCTTTCTAAAATGGTGTATTTGTGCAAGTATATTTATATTCTATATACATCTCTGTTTTGGTTTTTTTTTTTTTCTGGGCAGATTGTGCACAGATGATAATCCCTGGGTGAAACTAGGGACTCTGATGCTACAGAGATGCCCACCAGAGGAAAAGGAGAACACAGGAAATGAAATTTTGAAAATCTGCCGTTCTTTGTATGAGACGAAGCACATGCTTCCTGCCAAGGTAAGTTTTAACGTTGGGTATCATGGATATAAATCCTGTTTCGGGGCCCAGCTATAAGAAAGATGTTGCCATACTGGATCAAGTCTGATGGAGATGTCTGAGGGAGATTGTATTGCTGTCTTTAAATATACAGATGAGAAAACACATAGAAGGAGACGGCCTCTTCTCAGAGGTGCTTAATGATAGGACAAGAGGCAATAGAAACAAGATACAGCATCAAAAACTCTCATTGCATACAACGAAAATCTTTTTCGTCATTAAACGGGTGAAACATTAGAATAGGTGGATGCCTAGAAGAGACATGGAATCTCTGTCCTTGGAGGTATTCAGAACTTGACTGGATCGTGTCATGGGCAGTTTGATCTTGTTGGGCTTGTTTTGAGTGCAGGCTAGTTGGAGTAGCTGACCTATAGAAGTCTGTTCCAGTATAAATTATTCTTTGACGTACTTGTAGAAAGGCTTTGATAGCGTGTTGTCATTGAAGTTGGTGGTAAAAGCTATTCATGAAATGATCAGTAATATTCTCACTAATAAATGCGTAAAGACAGTGAAAACTCCTTGAAAACTCTGTTGGTGATCGAAAACATATTAATAGACAAGTAATTGCTTTGTAATAATTACAGTGTTCTGACTTCCTTAACTATGTATGCATACTTCAATACAAGCATCTCTTAAGTACAAAATTATTGAAGTGTTTTGTATGTTGGCATTGAATATTAATGAAGACAGATTGGAGAAATGCTTAATAAACTTCACAAAACTTCAGAGTAGTCATGTACATATTTTTAGTAGGGTGATTAATCCTTTATAATCATCTGCATGTAATCACAGTCTGATACAGAAAACAGCTGATGTTAAGACTAGAAGCAGAATAGGAACAACACATTCCGTTTAAAATACAGGCAGGTGGGGGAGTTTTGGTTGATTTGTTTTTTTTTTTTTAATAGTCCAACAGACCGATATGAGTCAAGTTCAAAATCTATGTAAAACATGATTCCAGAAGGAGTCTGTAAGATAAAATGATAAATACATTTATTAATATATTCATCCCACCAGAAATTTTTGATGGAAGGCAGGTCTCTGTCACTGGGAGTGGCATAACTGCATGTAGCTTTTCTTTATAAGGTGTCGAATGGTGCATCATAGCTCATAAACTCATGATATTAGTCATTCATAGGAGTAGTCAAACTGTTTCAAAATAGAATTTTCTACCATGCCTCAGTGGTCTAGGAAGACAAACCCCACCAAGGGTCATTGTCATGCAGCAATCAGTTCACCAAGAGTTTTGCTCGACAGTGGGTTGTGGTTTACTCACTTCTCTTAATTGGATAAACTTTTTCTTGAACTCCATAACAAGTACCTATTTGCAGACAATTTTGGTATTGGTTGGTAGCTTTGGTTGGAGGTGCTTTCCTTTTTTAATGGTACAGGATGTTGAAAGAGCCATCCATTTAGGTAGGAGTATACAGGTACTGTGTGAAGATAATCTGGTCCTCAAGCATAAAATAGCTTTACCGATGTAAAATACCTTTTTTATGACTAAAATGATACAGAGCAACAAGATTTGCACTAAAATGTGTAATTACATAGTTACCTGAAAACATAGGCTGTATTACTTTATGTGTCTCCTTGGGAAGAGGGGAAGTGGCATAGATAAATTTAAGGAACTTATTTGTATGCACAGCTATAGTACTTAAGTGCACAAATTAGAGAGTTGAAATCACATGGCTGAGTAAGATGAAAATCTGATTACTGATGATTAACCTGTTTAGATGACTTCACATATCAATAAATACACTGATTAAGAAAAGAGACCTAGAATGATGGAATTCTGAAAACTGAGAGCGGAGTTTATCACCATGAATAACATATGCCATTCTGAAGTCCAAAGGTTGTGATGGAAAAAAAACATTTAACTTCAAGTCATGAAGATCTAGAAGTTAGAAAAACTTTCTTTAGATGTACTCAAAAAGGTTTCTCTCTTCCTTTATTCCACCTCCTGCTGGTCTTTCTAGTTTTAAACAGCAAAGTTCTTTTTTTAATGTCTTTTGGAGAGCATAGCTTTAATCTTTATGTGTGTATGTTTGTTTTGGGTTTTATGTACGTTATTTCATGGATAGATTATCCATTCCTCTTAGTATATCAACTAAGAAATAACCATTGTTTTATTTGCTTGGAAGGCACAGATGTTTAGACTGTCTGACATCTGCACTGCCTGATTAATCTCTTTAGAACAGGGCAAATCCTTCTCCTCGCAGTGATTATCAAAGTGTGTCTCCTGAATATCTCCTGTTTTTCCATCAGCCTTTAGGTCATGTGTCAGTTAACATAAACACTGAAATGGGAGAATGCATCAAGTCTCTTATCTATTGACACCCTGGGGTCCTAGTGGCCATAAGATGCTTACCTCCTATTGTGCAGGTTTCACCTGGGATAGTTTTCTTCACAGGAGCTAGTATGGGCTACTAGCTAGTTCTGGATTTGTGATTAAGCAGTGTTGATAATTCAAGGATGGTTTATTGCTGAGCTGTGCTTACAGAGTTAAGGAATTTTCTATTCCTTACACCACCCCACTAGTGGGTAGGCTGGAGATGCACAAGGAGTTGGGAGGGGACACAGCTGACCCCAGCTGACCCAAGGGATATTCCACACCATATGGTGTTATGCTCAGCAAATAAAGCTGGGGGAAGAGGGGACATTTGGAGTGATGGTGTTTGTCTTCCCAAGTAACTGTCATGTGTGAAGGAGCCCTGCTTTCCTGGAGATGGATGAACACCTGCTTGAAAATGGGAAGTGGTGAATTAATTCCTTGTTTTGCTTTGCTTTGCTTTTCTTGTGTTTTGTTTTACCCACTAAACTGTCTTTATCTCAACCCATGAGTTTTCTCACTTTTACCCTTCTAATTCTCTTCACAACCTGCTGTAGGGGGCATGAATGAGCAGCTGTGTGGAGCTGAGCTGCTGGCTGGGGTAAAACCATGACACTTAGAATAACAAAGCAGCCAGTTGGTCTCCTTTTTCATATTTTTGTAGCTAGTTGATCCTGGGGTTTATATGTGAGTTTACAATGTATGTTTTTCTTCATTCATAGGTGTCTCTGATCATTTTGTTCAGATAATTTTGAATATAAATGCTGCCCTTTCGTCTGCTTTCAGCCTTTCCAGGCACAGTACTGTTTGTACTCATTATCCAGCCCTTCAAGCCATCCATGAAAATACTGAATAATACTGGAACCAAAACAGACTTCTATAAAATCCAGTTTATATGCCTCACTTGTGTCACAGTGAACTATCAATAGCTGCATAATTAGATGCAAGACAGAAGTTGTCTTACAAGAGTTTCAGCTAAATCATGGCAATCCAAAGTTTAAGTTAGTACTTCTCTTGTCCCTTTCACAGGTAACACCATACTCCCTCTAAGCACAGCCTCCCACTGCAGGCAGGCAGGCAGGCAGTCAAATGCTTTCAAGTGTTTCTTTTAGAAAAGAAGGCCACTTGCGTTGCTCTTACAAGCACTGTGCATGGTGGCTTGCTCCCTAGGGTTGGATTTCCATTTCCTGTCCAGAGCAGCAGTGCAGTTATTTGTGACAGAGAAATGAGAAGGTATTTGTACGACTGGGACAGTCTTCAATGTTTTGCAAGTTGTCCGGTCCCTTCCTGTGGAGAAAGGAATGAAGGCCACTGCAAGGGTTTTCAGTTTGGAACACACTGTCCTACTACACCTTCTTTCCTTGGTGCAGAGGACAGTGAGTGTTTCATGTGACATTTTCAGTCTTGCTAAAGTCAAAATATGTCAAAGTGGTGGCCTTACTCCTAACTACAGAACCTGTTGCAGGGTCCTGTGGGAACATATTTCTATACTTTTTTTTTTTTTGCGTTTGGTTTTTCATTTTATGTTTTAATGGTTTTTATGAACAGGGAGTGTCTTCAGTATCTTTTCCTCTCATGTGCTTGCTGTCTTCCATGTCTGAAAAAGTGTTTTTCTCTTTTCAAATTTTTGGTAACCTTTCATGATCTCGAGGATGATGTCTTTTAGCTTGACTTATTATTTCTTTAGGTGTTTGGGGGTGAATTTTTCAGCCCCAGGAACATCTTTTTTTATTCTAGGCTGAATTTTCAGTGCTGAACTCGCACCTGTTATTATTGTCAACTGTTAGCTGCTTGTTTGCCTGAGATCTTTTACTTGGCTTTTTGTTACTGAGGTGTTTTTTTTGTATTAGAGTACATTCATAAGGGAAACAGAGTCAATGTACTCTTATTTTATAAAAGATATCTAGTGAAGAAATGTAGATAAGCAGTACTCTTTTCCATAAATGAATAGCAAAGCTGGCATTAAAATAAAACATCCTGTTAGTATAGCTGCATTTTAAGAGGACATTGAAAAATAGGGGGGCGAAAGACAGAACCCGAAAAAATTAGTGCACGAATGAAAATACCGTGAAGTGGAAGGCTGAAGGAGTGCCGTATATTGCCTTATCAGAGATCAAGAGGTGGTTGATTATATTCTGCAGATATTTTTATATGAAAACCAAGCTAATAAAAGTCTCACTTGATTTATAAAGAAAGACATAACAAGAAACAATTGAGTTTAATTTATACCATTTCAAATTTTAGCATAAGACATGATATTTTGACGGTAAGTACAATTAATTATTGGAATGTGTATTTCCTCTTCACGAGAGACAATGGATTCTCTGTGTTCAAACGTTTTTGTAGGTAAGACTGGATATGTCTGCTAGACATGTTTTCCTAAAGCACAAAGTTACTCAAGTCATCTACAGGTACATACCTGAAATCTATTGACATTTGGCCTCAAAATCCTTTATTGTAAAATCAGTTGAAGTGAACTGGATAACTAAGCATGTGTTCTCTTATGTGGAGGCCTCGGTGATGAACAAGGCAGATTGTGTTAGAACATGTCCCTTCAAAATGTGTAACCAGTACTAGAGTATAATAGTGAAGCATCTAAGAAGAAAACAAAATGCTGGCATATCATCTGAGTTAAACGTTACTGCTTTGAAAATAGCAATGTTAATATCTGTATTACTGCATTTCCTTGCTGCGAGATTTATTTTGTCTTTGTTTAAAGCAGCTCACCAGGACAGTAAGCATCTACATCTTTT